GCGGATTTGATTCGAAATGTGATAACCATTTTGTGTTTTATTCGTTGACACAGGTGCGAAGCAACTATGGGGTGACCCCTTTGCTATGAAGCTGAAACTATGATTACCAGATTACCAGATTAATGTAGATGTTAAAGGAGAACCTGGGCAGCTATGGACGTGCCTGGAGTGCTGTGATAACTCAGGATGTCAAGAATATTCCTACGATGCCTCTCTTTCCATAAATTTCTACCGCTGTCACATTTTACCATTTTTATGTTCTCATAATACGACCTGATATTATGACAGCCTCTTGTGGTAGTTTTTGATAAATTGCCTTTCTAATTAGCTTCTTTCAGAGTATCTGGAATATTCATTACGTATGCCCACACGTTTCAAGAATTTTTCTGTAAAGCCACATTTCTGATGCCTCAAGAAATGAGTTGTGCTAATTGCCCTGGATTCATTACCATATGTAAAAATGTTTGTGTGTTAACATACAAGTATCCTTTCATTGTTTCTAATAACAGTGATCTATTGCATAACATGTTGATCATTTTATTTTTAAAAAATGTTTGCGTATTCCTTTCGGTGTGCACAGAAGCACGCAATCGCAGTTCTGTTAAAAGCAATCTTTGTTTTCGTTGACATCTGACATCTTTTTTCTTCTTCTGCTTTTGAATCCCCCAATGGAGCATAGGCCCTCAACCAACTCACGTCAAATCGTTATATCCTTCGCCATTGCCTGGAGCTCTCCCTATGTCCTCCCCATCTTTCTAGCTTTATTCTCTAGCTCTCTTCTCTATGTCTTTTTTTGGCCTTCCTTTATTTCTATGCCCCTGTGGGTCCAATGCAAAGACATTCTACTTTTGCTGTTCTCCTGTTTTCTCAGTGTGTGTCCTATCTAACGCCAGCGTCTTTACCTCACCTCTTGGTCCACTGGAGCCTGTTTAGTTCTCTCCCAAAGCTCTACATTAGTTATTCTATCATACCATTTAACTCCATCTATTCTGTGCAGGCACCAGTTAATGAATGTTTGAAGCTTATTAGTAATTGTCTTAATTGTTCTCCATGTTTCCGTCCCATACAAAAGTACTGATTTGACATTAGAACTAAACAAAATTTTTGTTTAGTATTTCTTTTAATTTCTTTTGACCTCCACAAATTCCCAAGTGCTATGAAACCTGGTTTGATCTTTTGTGTTTTGTGGCATAAAACAAATGAGCACATTTAATCATATCAGTCTTTTTACAGCATGTTCAGTATTCAGATGAGCATCTTTATTGGACAAACTTGCTTACATCGGCTTACATGTGTCTTTGTCGGAAAGTGCTAATAGGGAAATTACTATCTGGGAATGCTTCTTCTTCCCCTCCTCCTCCTAAATATCATTAACATACGCTCGAATGCCTCTTTGGTTTTGCTTGTAATAATTGGAGCACAATACAACGATAACATAAGAATACGGTTTCAAACTTTTATTACAGTTTTGTACAGTAAAGATTTTTTTTATATACACTATTTATGAAGATTCATTTAAAAAAAATTACATTCGATGCTGTTCCTTCCCCCCCCCTCTCTCTCTCTCTCTCTCTCTCTCTCTCTCTCTCTCTCTCTCTCTCTCTCTCTCTCTCTCTCTCTCTCTCTCACACACACACAATCTCTCCCTCTCTCTCTCGCTCGCAAATGTGTGGTTGATTTAACCTCAACACAGGCATGGCGTTAGATGTAGAATCTATGGATGCTATCTGGGTTAAATGTAACCGGCCACCTCATTTCTCAGTACACAGAACTCCACAAAGGAGCATGCAATGCAGGGTTCCACCGATTATCAGTAGATAGATCCCTCATTGACGCTTGTTTTGGCCCATTACTTATTAGTCTCGGAAAGTGGGCCGACCTGGTTCATGACGCCAGGTCCCGATCTTCCCGTGCTGCACGTTATTGGACGTTCGGACAGGGACAAGACGATGTGGGGACTTTGAAGCAGGTATCGTGAGATTTGATGTTATATATTGTCGCTGCGGTATCAAATTAGCCGCCTACCTTCACGTGACAAGATTTTGTGAATTGGCACAGAGACACTTGCAGACATTTATCGGGCACTCTTGCTTTTAGGGATGGAAAGCTTTCCACTAGAGGCTCAGATCAGTCTACCGAGGCCCATTCCCCACAACGTTCCGTTCGGTCTAAAGCCCTTTCTGCAGCTTCGCTTTTTCTCGTCGGTTTGTGTATAACCCATAATTTTCCTAAATTCCAGTGTTTTCTTAGCAGATTCTATCACATCTTGGACCTTAGTACCTGTCTTTAGAGCGGGCTGGACAGCTGCCACTGTGGGGTCTCTAGACTCGCGCAACATTATCGGGAGTCTTACCTTGCCGACTTTAAACTCCTCGGTTATTGATTTGAACGGAAGTACCAGCTTGGCCTGCTTATAAGATCAAGCCACATCGGTCTGACAAAGCTGTGCTCCAAGCCACTTTCTCATGGCGGTGTTTATATTTTTTTACTCCATAGTCTCCATTGCAGTCATGCTCACCATGTACACGAGCAGCGGCCAGTGGAGCTTTAGAATCAGCATGAACTGGAGACACCAAATCTTTGAACTTTCCGATCAGCCTGCATTACTCGATTGCCAGCAGGCCTGTTGCCAGTGACTCATGTATACGCCGGACCTTCGCTCTGTCAGATAACTTCGAGTCGTAGACGCGGCCGAGTCTGTTCACTGATTCCTCTAGAACCGCGGGAATCTCTTTCCTTGCCACCGTGAAACTGGTTGCTGCCACCTTACTTTTCTAAATAGGCATATTTCTGGAATTTTAGGGCTTGAACTGCATGCTGCACCATTCAAGCACACGACATCCAGCCTCTCTGTGATGACACGGACATGATCTTCACTGCCCGTGATGATAGTCAAAAAATCAACGAATATCTCAGTGGCGACATCCAGTGATCCCCAGTTGAAAGGCCCTGACCGACGCCGGCAGCCCCATCTAACAGGACGAACAGTATTGGCGAGAAGCAATCTGATTGGCTGGTACACAAAAACCTTCTAGCCAATCTCAAGGCTTTTATTATATAGGGTGGACCGATCGGCCTCTTCGTCATTTTGGCTATTTTGTGTTGGGCCGATAAATCGACGGCGTCGTCTCCATAGGGTTAACAATACAGAAGCCCATACTTGTTAACATAATCGGCATCATTAGCTGAATTACTAAAGCTTTCAAACGGAGAGGAGGGAGTTTGTCTAGAAGCTTCAGAAATGTGGCTTTATTCAAGAATCGTGGGGGCAACATGGACAGAAACAACTACAGTGAAGATGTTTTGACAGATATCAAAGCTAAATGTCGTCACAGCAGGATAATTGGAACGGAAAAGTGGCAAAAAGAGATCACGGCGAAGGATTGTTTGTCATGGAAAAAAAAAGCCTGTGTCAATCACAGAGATGAAGAATGGCGTCCGATATCTGTAATATTGAACATTAAAAACTCAGCGGGCCAAAGAAGTATGTTAGTTTCCGAGATGTCTTTACATGTGAGGCAGCTTTCTGTGATGTTCAAATGTTGGTCATGTCAACATTTCATGTCAACATTTTGTTCTCCTTTATCCTTTCTTCTTCTTTATCAGTCCCCACTTCTTTACCCATAGCACTATACAACACATACATCTCACAACCTCAAAAATATACATGTACGTATGAAAGAAATATCGCAACATTTTACTCACGACAACAATGAAATATAAAAGTTACCTGCCACAAATAGTGGCTTCTTATCAGAAATACTTTAACATACCGGCCCTACAGGTGGCCTCTTTTCAAACATTTCATTTTTTACCCGTTGATGACCAGAGATAACATTAGAGTTCATTAATAACATACATTATCTTTCTTTGACTAGGGATTCAGCCACGTAGAGTCTCTGAGAATGATTCCCCCCTCATAGAGTGTTTAAGGCGTGATTCAGATTCATAGTCTGTGATGCGTGATGCCTCACTCGAAGATTCTTTTTTAGGGATGATTCCCCTTCATAGAGTGTTTGAGGCGTGATTCAGATTCATTGAGTCTGTGATGCGTGATGCCTCACTCGAAGATTCTTTTTTAGGGATGATTCCCCTTCATAGAGTGTCTGGGACGTGATTCACCACTCGGAGAGTCTTTGTCGGATGTTTCCCTTTCATAGAGTCTTTGAGGTGTACCTTGGGTGGAATCTTCGAAGTTAGATTTACCATCGTGGAGTGTTGAGGTGTGACGCACATTGTAGAGCTTGTAAAGCCTGATTAACTTCTCTTATAGTTTTTGATGCGCGATTCACCGCCTTAGAGTCTGTAAGGTGATTCATTCCTCGTAGCATCTTGGAGATGCAATTCGGTCTCATAGAAGCCGTGGGCCATGATTCACTGTCATAGATTAATTGAGGCGAGATTTACTTTATAGACAATTAATATTTCAGGGGGTGGGACTTAGGCTGCATGCAGTCGTAGGACCTAGGCTGCACTCTCTCGTGGGACATAGGTGGGTTGGGATTAGGGCCAGTTCTAAATTTTTTTGGGTCGTTAAAATCATCAGAAAGCCGGGAAACCTGGTCTTACCACCCTCTAAAATGTGTGGACTGTCCTGTGACAGTCTGGGGTAAGATATTATTAAAGCACCGATTTACCTTCTTAGAACATTGGAGGCGTGATCTAAGCTTCTCAGAGCCGTTGTAGCTTAATTCGCCCTCGTGTGTAGCCTTTGAGATGGAGCCACCCTCGTAACTATCGGTACTTTATTCACTCTGTATGTAGCCTTATACGCCCTCGTAGTCTGTAATGCGTGATCCACCCTCGTAGAAACTTTAACGAGTCATTTAGCCTTGAAGAATCTATGAGTCGTTGTGTACCCTCTTTAAATGGTGAGGGCCATTTTCACACTCGCTTTGTGTATGAGGCGAATTTTATTTGTCGTATAGTCTTTAATGTTCGTTTCAGCATCACAGTCTTCCCGCTGTCTTTTGGGAAGTGGCTCCTGTTTTCAAAGAGATTTATCCACGCAGAGACAGCCAACAGCAACAGATGAGCCCACGCAACGTATGTCTGAAAGTCTTATTGACGGCGCAATATAGGACGAAGTTCAGAGAAAAGTTCAGCACCTGCATGAAATTGGTCACGTACCTGACGATCAACTGATTCTCTTTGTCCACCGGCGCGTAGCCAACAGAAAACTTCATAAGCTCGCTGGGAGAGACAAGAATGAGGAAGAGCAACACGACTGCAATCAGCGTGGCCGTCACGCTGTTCAGAGCGCTGTCCGATGGTCTTTTCCTGGACGCACTGCCCATCGCTTTTTGCGAGCAGCTAAAGGAACTGTCTATCCGTCTTCCAAAGCGGTTATCGTTCAGGGTTTTGGAATCACTGTCTGCACTGTGACTGCTAGGTCCACGGCTGCTCCTTGAAGCTTGATCCCGTCCGTTATATACAACAGTGAATCGTGGATAATCTTTCATGCCATTGTTGATGTGACCGGAGTCATGCGAGTGTCTGTCCTTGCTTCCCGTAAGCTCTGTACATTCAGATATTGTTCTTCCTTGTTTCAGGTCTATCCGTTGACTGTACAAATGTTTGCAGTTGTAAACAACCGTGCGTGTGGGGCTGTATCGTTGAGCGCTGGTTTTGATCCCCGAAGACGTGTAGCGGATGATTGAGTGTTTAGGAGTCATTCGATCTCGTAGCGTCTTCGCCTTGTGGATTTGGACAATCAGGCACAGGTTGAAGTAGACGAGCGCCACGCATGGAATGAAGTCAAAGAAAACAGCCCACATGACGCGTCTTAGCTTTACGGAATGTTGATTCCTTTCTTCTAGAACGTACACTTTTCGACCATCATCGCACAGAATCTCTACGATCTTCTTTTCCAAGAAGATCGGGATTGTTGACAAGGCGCAGATGACAAAGACTAGAATGATGCTGGCTCGGGTGCGTGTCAGAGAGATCAACTTCCTTGCGCGAAGAGGGTGACAGACGGCGATGTAACGTTCAGCCGCCATAACGACGATCAACCAAGTGCTGGATATAATGAAAAGTGTGATGAGACCGTTGGCCAGATACTCAAAGTACAGCACTGCTTCGCCCGCCTCGTAATAGGATTTGAGGCACGTCTGTGGAAGAAAGAAAAATGAACATTTGTGATATCAACATTGGCAAGACAGCAACAAGTTTAAACTCTTTCAGTCACACAAGCTCCTTAACGTACGATGGAGTTCAGAGTTGCAGTGCTAAACTCATGGGTCTACTACTTTCAGATGGGTCAAAAAGTTGACAGTTATTTGCTGCAGAAACTTGCAGCAAAGTATACACATTTTAGAAAAGATAAACATAGAATCACCGAATCGGTACTGCATGAGTGAATGAATGAATGAATGGATGGGTGAGTGAGTGAGTGAGTGAGTGAGTGAGTGAGTGAGTGAGTGAGTGAGTGAGTAAGTGAGTGAGTGAGTGAATGAGTGAGTGAGTGTGTGAGTGAATGAGTAAGTGAATAAGTGAGTGAATGATTGAATGAGTTAGTGAAAGAGTGAGTGAGTAGTGAGTGAATGAGTGAGTGAGTGAAAGTGTGTGTGAGTGAGTAGTGAGTGAGTGACGTCAAGCCCCACTAGAACGGCACAACGAGCGATCAATACCCGGTGACACAAAGTGCCACTATTCGGATAAGAATTCCCCCTGCACAAGTCCCAGGAACTTCGTTTAACCGATAGGTTCATATTAAGGCCCCCGACGATAGCCGGGGTGGGGCTTTTAAATAAATGTTGGACTGGATTCCATCAATGATATCCAAGTGATTGGCACGGGATACAACGGAAACCGGACAAAGACTGCGAGCCCTATGTGGGATATAAAGTCATACGAGGACAATGAATGAATGAATGAATGAATGCACTAGTGCAAGCGGGACGAAGCCTGGACAGAGCTGATATAACACGGACTAAACTGGTGGCACATGATGAGTCTCTGGCGCTACACCGACTACATGACCTACGAGAAAAGCCTGCCTGTTGGAGCACTTCTACACTGGCTTTGAGATCAAGAAAAGCTATATTGTATGTGGCCAATATCAAATAAGAACCATATATAGAGGTAAACTGTGATGGCTGCTGCATTGTAGGACTGACAATGCAGAGGAATGCACGCTGTGCAATCGTGTCGGGTGAAATAATATGACATAATTTAACAAAACATACAGTTATGTTAGCTTCAGAGTTGGAGCAACAGTTCTTGGCATATCTTCATTTTTAACTTAGAAGTCAAAAAGGAGCCACCGTTGTGTAGCGGCTAGATGCTGACCTGTGGATTCGAATGCCATGAGCTCAAATCCGAATGCTGCTGGAATTTGTGTGTGTGGCTCCCATGTCGACCCAGCTTTAAATGGGTACGAGGTCAAGTCCTGTGACGTAAAGGCGGCCAGCGTGATGCTGACCACACCACCTACCAAGTGCCTATTTGTCCTTAAACTATAAGTCTAACCCTGTATGCCTAGTACGCCTGAAGATGTGGACAAGTGCCATTTACTTTTACTTTACAAGTCAAACGTATCCAAAGACTTCTTCTGAACGTCCATGACGTATGGCGTTGGTAGTCATGTCTGTCTACAGCCTTCTATCTCGTGTACTATCAATTTACTCTGACATAGATGATATTCCATAGTTCTGGTCATGTGGCGTTGGTAGTCATGTCTATCTACAGCCTTCTGTCTCGTGTACTATCAATTTACTCTGACATAGATGATCTTCCATAGTTCTTGTCATGTGACGTTGGTAGTCACGTCTATCCACAGCCTTCTGTCTCGTGTACTATCAATCAACTCTGACATAGATGATCTTCCATGGTTATAGTCATGTGTCGTTGGTAGTCACGTCTATCCACAGACCTCTGTCTCGTGTACTATCAATAAACTTTGATATAGATGATCTTCCATAGTTCTTGTCATGTGGCGTTGGTAGTCACGTTTATCCACAGCCTTCTGTGTCGTGTACTATCAATCAACTCTGACATAGATGATCTTCCATAGATCTTGTCATGTGGCGTTGGTAGTCGCGTCTATCCACAGCCTTCTGTCTCGTGTACTATCAATAAACTCTGACATAGATGATCTTCCATAGTTCTTGTCATGTGGCGTTGGTAGTCACGTTTATCCACAGCCTTCTGTGTCGTGTACTATCAATCAACTCTGACATAGATGATCTTCCATAGGTCTTGTCATGTGGCGTTGGTAGTCACGTCTATCCACAGCCTTCTGTCTCGTATACTATCAGTAAACTCTGACATAGATGATCTTCCATAGTTCTTGTCATGTGGCGTTGGTAGTCACGACTATCCACAGCCTTCTGTCTTGTGTACTATCAATCAACTCTGACATAGATGATCTTCCATAGTTCTTGTCATGTGGCGTTGGTAGTCACGACTATCCACAGCCTTCTGTCTCGTGTACTATCAATAAACTCTGACATAGATGATCTTTCATAGTTCTTGTCATGTGACGTTGGTAGTCACGTCGATCCACAGCCTTCTGTCTCGTATACTATCAGTAAACTCTGACATAGATGATCTTCCATAGTTCTTGTCATGTGACGTTGGTAGTCACGTCGATCCACAGCCTTCTGTCTCGTATACTATCAGTAAACTCTGACATAGATGATCTTCCATAGTTCTTGTCATGTGACGTTGGTAGTCACGTCGATCCACAGCCTTCTGTCTCGTATACTATCAGTAAACTCTGACATAGATGATCTTCCATAGTTCTTGTCATGTGACGTTGGTAGTCACGTCGATCCACAGCCTTCTGTCTCGTATACTATCAGTAAACTCTGACATAGATGATCTTTTATAGTTCTTGTCATGTGACGTTGGTAGTCACGTCGATCCACAGCCTTCTGTCTCGTATACTATCAGTAAACTCTGACATAGATGATCTTCCATAGTTCTTGTCATGTGACGTTGGTAGTCACGTCGATCCACAGCCTTCTGTCTCGTATACTATCAGTAAACTCTGACATAGATGATCTTCCATAGTTCTTGTCATGTGACGTTGGTAGTCACGTCTATCCACAGTCACAGATGCTCCTCTATGCCATGATATTAGACTGTCCAGCACTTTTTCTTTCGGTCTCCATGTTCTCCCCTCCAACTTGTCTACTGCCACGATGTACTCCAGTTTCATCCTTCTCATCACATGACTAAAGAATGTAGCTTGTCTCTGTCTGATGTGGGCAATCAGTTCTTTTCGACAGTCTGTTTTGTGTTGTTGTTGTTGTTGTTGTTGTTGTTGAAGACGTCTTCATTACTCTTTGTATCGGTCCGGGATATTCTCATCGAACGTCCATAAAAACACTCTCCGCATCTTTCAAATGTGTTTTCACTAATTTACGAGCTGTCCTTGCTTTATTTCCCTATAGACAGAAAGGATAGACAGAAAGGATAGACAGAAAGGATAGACAGAAAGCGACAAATAAAATTGTTTAGAAAAAGAGCCCGTACCGAACACTCAGGAACCAGAATAAAGTGACATTAAACGACGGATCCCATAAAGTTGCTTCAGTTGACCATTATGGTAGCAGATAGAAATGAAACCTTAATAGAATTCTGAAGAGTGAACGCACGACCCGACTGCAAGTGCTGGCAAGCGTGTGATTAAAACACAGAGGAACGTCCTACTGGCTTGGCAAATGTCCGACTAACTTGACGACTGTCTGGATGACTTGACAGCGTTGCTTGGATCGTCATGTGATGGTTAGTAATCTGTACATACATCACAGCCTGCCTCTTTGGTTGTGAATATAGCTGTCAGCGATGTTATGCTGTGTACGACTGTAATAACCTGAACAGAACTGTTGTTTCGTGTGTACTTTTAGGCACGGTTGGGGGGAAGCGAGTGTGTGCAATATTTGTAGATTTTCCTGGTTGTGTGTTTCTTTTTCATGCATGCCTTTCGTTGTCATTACTTCGTGTGTGCGAACCACATTTAGCAGATATGTTTACTTGCATATTGTTTTTTTTTCTGGACGTCGAAAATAGCAGCATTCCAACCTTAGGGGTGGGTTGGTTGAGGAGAAAAGGGTGGGGGGTTACCTGTGAAAGAATTACAAAAACATAAGTAAGATTCCTGCGAAATTCTCTAAATTTAACCAGAGGAGAGAGAATTGTAAACGGTAAAATCCGAAGAAAAATTACGGTAGTCGCAGCTGTCTTTTTCAATAGAAAACAACAAGTGAAATGGTTTGGCCTTGCAACGATGATTCCAGGAAACAGTATACCACAGCAAACCGTGATGTACAGACTAGTCGGGGACAGAAGAAGAAGCCGACCATGCAAGCAATGGACAGAGGAAATACAATAACAGTCTCAGGGACCCCCCTTTTTCCCCTCTATTTACTCAGCGCACAAACGGGCACTTTCTCGCGAAGTATACCAGATACCTCACCACCGGAAGGGACAAGAGGACCAAGGTCAGACGAGACCTGTCAAAGAAGTAAGATGCGCGATCGATTGTGTTACTATGAAGATAACTGATATCTCATCTTTACTTTTATGCACGGCTATGTTGCAAAAAAAAAAAAAAGCACAATATGTAGATTTTTAAAAGTCTCTCCCCTCCCCCCCCCCCCCCCCCCCCCCCCCCCCCCCCCCGTTTTTCCACAAATTCTCAGTAATGCCGTATTTAATTGCCTTGTTTGCGAACCAAGTTCACTCAATACGCTAGCTGCGTATCTACTTCAGGACGTCGAAAAACTAAGCATTTATTGACTGTTAATGGTGTTACTATACAGAAATGCGTTTTGCAGATTGTCACTGCTGTGTGAACGATATGGTGCTAATGTCCTCTTTGTCAGCAATGGGACCAATTGAGGTTCAGAATATCTTCTGACATCGTTTATCTCTGTGTTTGGCTTGCTCTTTCCGGTTGGTGGATGCACACATTTTTAGTCTGCCTGTATGTTATCTCTGCACCGTTCCGAGGAGGAGAAGAAGAAGAAAAAGAAGAAGAAGAAGAAGAAGAAGAAGAAGAAGAAGAAGAAGAAGAAGAAGAAGAAGAAGAAGAAGAAGAAGAAGAAGAAGTGTCAACAGCAGGATATGTTTATTTAGATATCTACCTATTTACGTCCATAAG